GCAAGCACACACCAACCGTCTCCCCGAGACATTCCTTCAGACTTCCTTCCCGTCCTCCCCAAGGCCAACACATAAAAGTTAAGATCGCGTGAGCTCGACCAAAGTAGGTAAAATGGATGGGGAATGAAATTAATTAGGACCGAGTACACAATTAGTAGAGGACGGGAAAAACGACCTACTTGAAGAATGTAAAGAGTGGACCGAGGAAGTCGATTCACGTACACCATCTGGCTATCTCCTCTCTCTTCTTTCTATCCTATCTTCGGGTCGTCTGGAACGGAGGGACGTCACTAGGACTGGTGGATGTCGTCGGTGGTCGTCAGGTCTGTTCTCTGCTGCTCTCTCCCTTCCTCCTTTATTGGTCGGACGCGCAGACATGCTTTGTTTCTCCCTTTGAGACTCGCCTACTTTCCTGCGATCGGTCTCCCGTCTGTCTGTGCTCGACTTCCCTCTCTCTCTCTCTCTCTCCATGTGTTCTAGTTTTGTTCGAGTGCTGACTATGAGCGAATGCCTGCGATTACTCTACAAGATTATGTTCCTGCGGGTGGCAAGATTGACATAATTACGTCTTTACATGTCAGCACAGCATCTGACGTCTAGTATCTTATATGACTTTAATTTTTTACCATTAAACTTTACAACTGTTGACGAAGACTCGATACGACGTCCTTTTCTACTGCATGTAGATCTAAAAGACAACTGATGTGGATTTGGAAGTTAAATAAAAGAACGACAGAAAGTCATCGGTTTGTTGTTCTCATTACGACGTGTCGGTTTGTCCCTTTCTCCACCTGTCTGTGTATGACGGTGTCAAATGGGGTCAGATGTTTTCATTACCCATCTTTTTTCTTGTTCAATTAATGTTGAGTAGTCCTTGACTTCCGCGTGATGTCTCAACAGTACACTTGGTTTGTTAAATTCACAGCGAGGACAAAAAGGTAGTATCTTTGCGAGATTATACCATGACTGTAATCTGAGTTGTTAATCGGAGGGCCATAATACGATCGAACCAATCCGTGATTGACTTTCGTGCCAACAAGATATATTCCTTGGTGGCGGTCTGGTTATTTGTCCAAATTTATAATGTTTTATTCGGTTGTAAGGTAAGTTACAAAAGGGGATGTAGGTAACAGCACAGAACCGAACCGAATCTGGTCTAGCCGACTAATTAAAAGAGACACTTCAATTGACCTACGCTACATTCATGAGTCACAAAGATACTCCACTCATGGCGGGTGTAGAAAACAGTGCATATTTATTAATTATTATTCTAAGAATTACACAATCGGGGCGATTTCTCAATTGGTGAGACCAGTCGAAACACAGAACTATTCAACCATACTTCATTAGCAACAAATTCCTCTTTTCTTGCAGGGTCTGTAGTATGTACGTCAGGTTGGGTCCTTATGTTTGTGTGCGTCAGGACGAGGACATAGGATCGGTCGAGAGACTAACCAGGGTAGAAGTAGTCAAGAGGGACTCGGGTCAAGGTTGAGTCACGTTCGGAAGATCGATTCTCGATGCACTGAATACTGCGGCAGACCTGAAGTACAGAAACTCGGAGTAGCGATTTTGCAGAAACCCCCGAGTCCTTTTCTTCCGGACGAAGTGTTACTCTTGTCTACTGTGCATGTCATCTCTTTCTCACACACCCAAAGTCATTAGCCTTGGTTGACAGATGAAGAAGTATAACTGGTCTGGTTTACTATATGGTCACCAATGAGTCCCATATTTTACTTCGATTGTGATCTTTTTTGTTTGCATTAAGTGTCACCTAGATCCGATTAAAGGGGACTACTCATTGAACCCAGTTGTTACATAAAATTTACAATTTACTAACGGACTTGGTCACCCTTGGCATGTTGTGTAACCCTTTAGGTTGTGCCTTTGTTGTACCTATGGGAAAAGGAACGAGAAAAAAAGAATGTGAGCTAACTATGTTCTAGTCGTGTAAAAGATTTGGTATCGACCTTCAAGACAAGAGGTCCTTTTGTAAATTAAATCGTATCTCTCGTGTTGTATTTCGTCATGAAAAGGGTGAAATCAAGGCTTTACAGCAAGGCTTGTTTTTCTCGGCCTTGATTTTTACTCAATGTAGTCTTGGGAAAATGGAAGGACAGCAGGGACGATCTCTCCGTCCTGAAAGTGACCCCCCTTTTCCAAGGATACAGACTAACCGATCCGCCTTACGTTTGGTGCGGGCATTTTAGGGCTTTTCAAAACACTTCGGCGGGTAAAATTAATAGGGGAGGCGTAACGTTAATAATCGTAATCTAATCGGGTCGCGTTGTTTGTGTCTTCTCTGATTGAATACCGTTGTGTTTTTTTTTGTAGCCTTCGCACCTCTACCCCCCCGTTTTCAAGGGACCGCCTAAATGAGACTTCCGTACACTCATCTTGGACCGACCTCAGGGCGTCGAAGATGAACTCTCGGTCAGGGGTTGAGGCCCCTGAAGGCCGGCCCCTGGAGCCCCGTCATATGGCGGGACTTTCAAAACGCGCGGACGGTCATTTGGGTTTCGTCTTGCTTCTTCTTCTTCACTGAGGTCGCCGAGTAAACGATTAGGAAGGGGGTCGCTTGAATAAGCCACCCACCTCTGGCGCTAGGCACATGAATTTCAAGTAGTCTCGATTTCTCAAGAGTACTTGGAACACTCCCTTTTCATGACCGCCACACTTTCGCGGATTCCATTAACCCAAACATATGAAGCGGGCGTCTTTGTTTTCACTAAAACCATTAATTGTCATAGTATGTATTTTAGATTTTCTCTTAGCTGAATGTCATTCAATGAGCCTAATGTGGTTTAATAGTAGAGCCTTTACGGTGAGTGATTTGTGTGTCTTACTCTGGATGTTGTTTTCCTATCCAACGCTAATGTCAGATTTTCCTACCTGTCCCTCTAGATTTAGGAGGAAGACCATTGCTGAAAAAAGATGCGCTTTCGTTTTCTGAATGATGAGGGCGTAGCGGCTCGTTCGAATACTAGGGCACTCACTTGGAGTGTTCGTCACCTGGACAGGGACGCACTTCTGACAGTCACCTGCGATCTCAGACGTGTCTAGTCCCAGCCTGACTACCTACGAGCAACTTCCCAGTTTCCATCTCGTTCCTCGTTCCATGTATCAATGAGGGCACGAGATAAGTTTGTGCACAGATGGAAGGCTGACAGGCAGGTAGGCCATCCAGTTATTTTAGCCGGGCCGGCTCAGATGATTGGTCGTGCTTTTTACAGCGCCACGGCTTCCACAGATGATATATTTTTTTATGTATTTATTGTCAAAGCATTTAATGTATTCATTGCTATCGGGATGTTAAGAGCATTCCATGGAATATAACAACAAGTGAAATAAATTACATACCCCACCTTTAAGACACCGTAAAAGGACAGTGGTACATGCTCACATCAAAAATAATAACCTCAGTTCAGTGTAAAGTGTTTTTTCAATGCCTTATCTTGCATTATGGTTCCTGATAAAAGGAAAATAGTTTTAAACAAAATGTTGAAATGTGATGCCTGTTTTTGATGGTAAATATCCAGCATGAGACTGAAACAGCATGAGAGAGATGAAGCCAGATAGAAAACCTGCAAAATAATAAAATCCTGTAGAGAGTGAGGGGATGAGGAAGTGCAGCGAACAATGAAGCTGTCACTGCGGGGGTCTCGGTTTGGGCCGACATTTAAATTGAGTTCTTGTTTCTATCTTTGTTGGCATTCTACCTTTTAGTAATTCACATTCATTGTTCGGTAAAGGCTTTTACTATTTCCTTAGAGACTGTCCAGCAAACCAAAACCAACACTTTTCTGCATTTGGTTATGATGCAGTAGAATGGAAAATGCTTTCCCAAATCAGACCAGTATTATATTTATTATACAAATATAGATCATATTTGCTTGTAGCCATTACTAAGAATTGAATTAAAGAATTTGATTATATCTACTTTCAATAAGGAAATGATACCTACTTTATTCAATTTATTTTTGGAACCAATGCTGCAAAAACTACTTATATTGAATTTCAGTCTGGTTTGGCACGATTTGTATATTATAATGTAAAGTAAAAGCAGTGGGAAATGTCTTAAAACGTAATATATGAGATAAAGAAACATTACATTCATGCTATTTATATCACTGTTAGATACTCAGCTGCATATTTAACAGTAATTGACAGTGTATCATTTTTGTATCACATTTGAAGCTTTGTAGTCTGTGAAACTTGATTTAAGTGTGTTTGTGTGTGTGTGGAAAGAGAATGGAGTGCTGTGTTCACTATCAACAGGGAAGTGGTGAATTAAACCATTGTGCTCTCATTACAGCCACTTTTGTGAGGAAGGTGGCAGCTGTTAATCTTGGCACACTGCTAGAGCCCTTGGATTATCACATGAACACACACACACACACACACACACACACACACACACACACACACACACAACACACACACACACACACACACACACACACACACACACACACACACACACACACACACACACACACACACACACACTCACACACACACTCAGGGTATGCGGCTCTGATAAGCTGGCGGTTAGCCTTTCAATTCATGAAGCAGCTACTGTTCCTCATTGTTTTGAATAGCTATCAGTTCTTGTCTCTCTCTTTGAGTTGGTCTCATGCTCCTCTTTTGTGGCGTCTCTGATAGTAGTTCCCTTTACGATCCAAAACAGAAAGCCCTTTGAGACGACCCCCTGTGTCATGGGACAGATGAAATCGCCATGACACTACTGACCCCGTTGTGACTCAATGTACTGGAAATGCCCGAGGACATAAAGTGATGTCAGAAAGAAACCATTAAATTCCTTCTTTGAACTTTTTACCACCATGTCTAACATCTTGTCCTCTCTTCTGTCTCCTCCAGTTGGGATGTCCTGAGTCAGTCCTCGGGGCCCAGAGAGCGCTGTGCTGATGGGACCTGCTACGCCGCCATGAGCTTACAAGATGGCGGCTGCAGCTATGCTAGCAGCGCCAACATGGCCAGCGTCACCGGCAGCATGCGGCGGCGCCTGGAGGACCAGGAGTTCAGCCTGCGCGTGTACCCGGGCGCCCTGGCCGAGGGAACCATCTACTGCCCCGTCTGCGCCCGCAAGAACACCACGGCTGCCGAGGCCATCGACTGCCTCATCGAGCGGCTGCGCCTGGATCGCACCAAATGCTACGTGTTGGCTGAGGTGAAGGAGTTTGGCGGGGAGGAGTGGATCCTGAACCCCTCCGACTGCCCCGTGCAGAGGATGATGCTCTGGCCTCGCAGCGCCCTGGAGAACCGCAGCGGCCTCTGCAGCGGAGACGACTACCGCTTCCTCCTGAGGGAGAAGAACTTGGACGGGTCTATCCATTATGGCGGAAGCCTGCAGTTGTGGCTGCGGTTGACTGAGGAGCGGCGCCGCATGGTGGAGCGGGGTTTCCTCCCCCAGCCTGCAGGGACTGACCCTCCGACCGACCTCTGCGCTCTCCCGGAGCTAACAGAACGCACTATTTTGGAGAGTCTCCGTGCACATTTCCGCCAGGAGAAGATCTACACTTACATTGGGAGTATTCTTATTGTGATTAACCCTTTTCAGTTCCTGCCAATCTATAATCCTAAGTATGTCAAATTGTACGATAACCACACACTGGGGAAGCTGGAGCCTCACATTTATGCTGTGGCGGACGTGGCGTATCACGCTATGCTGCAGCGACGGAAGAACCAGTGCATAGTCATTTCTGGGGAGAGTGGGTCAGGGAAGACCCAGAGCACCAACTTCCTCATCCATCACCTGACTGCCCTCAGCCAGAAGGGGTTCGCCAGCGGGGTGGAGCAGATCATCCTGGGGGCCGGGCCTGTGTTGGAGGTAAGGAACTCTTGCAGTGTTGGAAAAATAATGAAGAGGATATGCTCATGTTGGTCTGTTGGTTTGTCAACAAAATAACTCAAAATACCACCAATAGATTTCCACAAAATGTGCTTCTGATAAAGGAACAAATGGTTTGAGTTTGGTTGTGATCTGGAGTTTAACCTTTAAGATGACATAAGCGATATCTCAGGAACTAATACAGAATGATACTTGCTTTCAAATCTTAGATAGGAACAATATCTGATGATGATTGATAAGCCAGTGTCGCTGTGCTTTGAGTGCATTGTACCTGACTGTATGGTTTGACTGTAGGACCACCTCAACTGAGACATATAGCCATTTTACTGCTGGATCTTTTTCAGAAACCGACAAACCTATGTATGAACTTTAGCTGCGGATTGATGGAGAGGAGATCATGACTAAATGTAATTCATGGCACATAGTTCCTGCCCTCCCAAAAAGGCATATAGGAATGCACAAAGAGAACTTCAGTCTCTAGAGATTGTTTGATGACTGCTAATGACTAAGACAACGTTCTAGCTTTGGTTTTCAGATATCTTTTTAAGGACTTCTTGACATGTCAAGCTATAGCTATCGGGACAATAGTGTTGTATAATTGTGCTTTGTTTCTCATCGATCCCCATATTTGGTTGTGTTCAGTGTAAAATGTCCTACAGCAGGCTCAATCCAAGCTGCATTCAATTCATATGTTGAGAATTAGACACCCGGAGAGGAAGTGACAAAAGCCTGATGAAAGTCAGCAGGGTATTTCTCGCGTTGGAATGTCAGCTCATGAGACGAGGCATGAAATGGATTATAGAAAATGTCCCTCTGAAACTGGAGTGCGGGGAAAACCTATATAGAGCCCCGGCTTTACCACATATGAGTCTTGTACATATTATTTGACCCAGAAACTGTGGATCCAATCTCTGCATTAATGGAGGAAAAAAAACTCCTGATGGAATATCGCCTAATCCGTCCCTGGATTATAAATCAATAATGGATAATGGATTATGGCATTTCATTGGGACTGTCATTGGGAGTTTCATGTTTTAGGAAGGTCTTTTCAAGGGCAACATGCTCGCTTCAGTCTTTTAAATATGACTCAATGAGCTCCCAATGGCGTGTTGTTTTGTGGCCGCTTCCTGTCAGGACGTATGGGGATGTCAGAGTGCAGCTGTGCGTGTTGACACCATGTGCGTCCCATGTGGAGCTCTGTACAGTGAAACAAGGCAGATGCACAGTCAGTTGGATATATGGTCTGTCATCTGGAAATCATGAATCACCTTTTGGACCTCCTTCATACTTGCCAACCTTGAGACCTCAGAAATCGGGAGCATTTCAAAATGCAAAATAGGGGGGGGGGCTGCTNACGTGTGTACGTGTGTGTGTGTGTACGCGTGTGTGTGTGTACGTGTGTGTTGGAGTTAATTTGGGGTCGTTCTACTTTTAGCGTCCAGCTGGGATCGGTGTGTCCACCGATCCCAGCTGGACGCTAAAAGTAGAACGACCCCAAATTAACTCCAACACACACGTACACACACACACGCGTACACACACACACACGTACACACGTACACACACACGTACACACACACACATGTACACACACACACGTACACACACACACGTACACACACACGTACACACACACACGTACACACGTACACACACACACACACGTACACACACACGTACACACGTACACACGTACACACACACACACACACACACGCACACACACACGTACACACACACGTACACACACACACGTACACACACACACGTACACACACACGTACACACACACACACACGACACACGTACACACACGCACACACGCACACACACACACACACACGCACCACAACAGAAGACGTACACACACACGTACACACACACGTACACACACACACACACACACACACACACACACACACGTACACACACACACACACACACACACACACACACACACACACACACACACACACACACACACACACACACACACACACACACACACACACACACACAGACGTACACACACACACACGTACACACACGCACACACGTACACACGTACACACGTACACACGTACACACACACACACGTACACACACACGTACACACACACACACACACACAGACAGACAGACAGACAGACAGACAGACAGACACGTACACACACGTACACACACGTACACACGTACACACACGTACACACACACACACACACACACACACACACACACACACACACGTACACACGTACACACACACACACACACACATGTACACACACACACACACACACACACACACACACACACACACACACACACACACACACACACGGGCCAAAGTTCAGCTGGCAGTCACAGAATGAAGACATTATAAAGAAATGTGATCTGTTTTTCTAGCTTATTTTTTTATTTTGTCGTTCATGGTGGCGTTTTTTTATTTTCGGAGTGAAGTAGTTTACACTGCATTTGTCTCTTGACTTTATAAAGTGTGTGTCTGTGTGTGTGCTTGTCGGTCTGTGTGTGCTTGTGTGTGTCTGTGTGTTTATGACGCAGTTGTTCAGAGGAATGCCCCTCTCTGTTTATCCTGATCTGTCATCCTGGTCAATCTGGGCCGGTGAGCTCACTTCACAGCCCCCTTCCTCATCATCATCATCCTCACCGAGCTCTCTGACCTCACTGAGCTCCCTAAAGAACTTGATTCATGTGCACCAGGTGCAGAGGGAGGGGGGGGTCGGTCTTAAGCTGAGAACACTAGAAAACAAATCCCAAATGATTTGAGAAGAGACGCACGGACAGCTGCTCCTCACTGACTAACAAACACAGTTCAGGCTTCTTTATGCTACAGGGTCCCGTTCAGATTGGACCAAATACTTATTTATAATTCACCCGTCATCGTGACGCTTTCAGAAGATCTGAGGATAAGTCAGAAAGGAGATAAAGAACTTGTAATGCTGCATAGATTAATGTAGGAGTCAAAATACAGAATATAATTAAAAATACGTTTTTGTGATGATTTAATTAATTAGTTATCTGAAATATGAAGATTTACTGTTTCTAATCTGTTTGATATCATATTAAACCCAATTTCTTTAGGTTTTAGACATTTAAAGACATCCACCTTGTCTTCCCCTCAAAACTGTGATGGAAAATAATTGACAGATTAATCGATGGTGGAAACAATCGTCCTATAACTTTTGATGACTCTATGAAGTTAGTTATGGCGTTTTTATGTAAAATTGATTTTCAGCCACAGCTTGTATCAAGTCTTGTTATAATTAGGGCCGGGACTTTAACGCGTTAATTAAGATTAATTAATTACACAAAAATGTACGCATTTTAATCGCACTTATTTTTGCACCGCGGAACGTTTCTCACTGGATGAGTTTCAGGGGTACCGATTATACTGGAGCACCAACTAACGTTCATGACTTCAAACAACAACAAACCACAGTGAACAATAGTGGAACGAAGAAGCTGATGAGACCGCTTTGGTTGGCCCCGTGGATGGGACATTTTGTTTTAAAAAAACGGACGGATGGAAGCATCGATAAGAGCACGGTTGTTTGCAAATTATGCAAAAAGGAATTTACATATCACCGCAGCACATCAAGCCTCAAGTATCACCTCAATGCAAAACATATAGCAGCTAGCGTGGAAGCTAGCGTGGANTAAGGAAGTCTGAAGGAAGGGGCAGATTTTTCCGGTTGTGTATTTTCAAATTCTAGCGCACTCGAGCTGGTTTCTCCATTCTTACCTACCCTACCTTTAATTGAATCCTGCTCATGTTTTAATCATCTCTGCCCTTTTTGCTGGATGACTTTTACATTTTCTTCACCGGCTCCTTCAGCTAAGTGCATGTGGTAGACCGATAGAGGAAGAGAGAGAAAGAATAGGATGAGAAAGCCCAGACAGACCTTCCTCTGCAGTGATCCTGACCACCTACAGCAGTCTGCAGCAGTCCAGACAGAGAGAGAGAGAGGGAGGGAGGAAATAACCAGCTGGGCGTCTGTACGAAACAAAGAGGGGAACTCTGAGGGATGAAAGACCTAGCAGAGGCAGACAGACAGAGATGAGAGGGAGAGAGAGAGAGAGAGAGTACACAAGACTCAAAACAAGCGTCCCCCACGACTGATACATCCGCTCCCTAGGACGCTAATGAGATGTTCAAACAGGTAACAGGTCAGAGTTTAACTGTATTATGCACAAATGTACAGTCGTGCTCGTAGACTGCAGATCAGTAGAATATACTGAAATTAAAAAATGTAATTTGAAATGTACAACTGCTTCTGAGCTATGCTGCAAGAAAAAGATTGACGTACATCTAGATTTTCTGTTGACTCCACTAAAACCTTCAATTTATTTTCTTGCTGCTCTTTCAGTAGCCAAACAACAAGAGTATGCATCACAGCCAACATGGGAAAGAGGTGGAACAGACACAACCTGCCACAGTTTACCCCAGTCTACAAAAGTAATGGTAGAAAGAAAGTTAATTACAACTCATCAGGAACTGAAGGCGCACTACAGAGTTGTCATGTGAACCAACACAATTTAAGTGTGCTTCCTGTTTTTCCATTCATAGAAAACAGCTCTAGTGTAACTGAGATTAACCTCAAATTAGCCTCCGGTATTATGCTAGCTTGGTTAGCACTACTGAAAGCACTCATTTTCCCTGTTTACCTATAATGGGACACCCGCCAGACAATAACAGGTTTAATATTACAAAAATAAAGCCAAACATCCATTCAAGTGTTTCCCCCTACATCCATTTGTCAGTGTCTGTGGTTGGTTATGACAGATCGGTGATTCCCTAATTTTTCTCTGTGAAGTTAACTGGAGGTGATGTAATGTAGCCTCAGTGTTTTCTATGAGGTGAGTACTGCTTTGGACTTGAAATAAATGCTTTGTCAGTAATAATAATAATAATAGATTTAATTTGTTAGCGCTAAGAGTAACCACTCTTGGGTTACTTGTGTGCTCTGATTAAGTTGGTATGAAGTTAATCGTTGTTTTAAGGAGAAAAGAACGTCTCAACAGACATCATAATGCAGTCAACCCAGGATACAAACACACTGCAGTCCCTGCTTGTATCCTAGCCAGCTCTCTGATTGGTCCATCTTCATCAGTTCTCTTCCTGAGCTGTCAGTCCAACTCAGTGAGCCTTTAAGCTAAGAGCTAGTGACTTATGACTGTGGACTTCATGTCTTTGAGTCATCGCTAAAACGTTTGCCGCTAGGGAAAAAGACAGGCTGCTTTCACAATGAGAACAGATGACAGATACAGTAGAGGAAAGAGTGTGTGGGCTTCAGTATGCGAGAACCAACTGTCTACATTTCTTCATATTGGACCAGACCAAAAATGATATACCGTGTGTTACTCAGGGTATAAAATTGAATAACTACTAGAAAAACAAAAGTATTCACAGTGGATCTAGGCTAATTTCCCCTGATGACTAAGCTTGGGTCAACAATGTTATTTTAAATGTTAAATGTTGGCTCTGAACCAGTGGGAAACTGTACAACAAAACATGGGAAATCCAACACGAAACAACATGGATAAATCCCCCTTTTCTTGCCCTTTTTTCTTACACTGATTGATAAAGATCAGCACATTTTCTAAATAGCTGGAGTTTCTGTTCTCCAGGAAAACATTTAATTTAGATAAGAGCCGCATTCACACCGCAGTACTTTTCCCACTTTAGTTCCGAAATGTTGCGTTCACACCAAAAAGAGCCGGAACTAAAATTAGTTCATCAGAACCTTTTTACCCCCTTTGCTAGAGAGCAGGGACTTTCGTGGGACAAAAAGGTTCCTATTTGTGATTGGCTGGGCGGATTGCAAACCACGCCCCGTAAAACTCAAAAAAAGTGTTGTGAAGCCGCCGTTTTATTATCCTCGCATTAGCATTATTAGCATTAGCATTAGCCCAGCGCACAAACGCAGAGAGACTAACTTATGGCAACACAAAAGAAAACATGGGAGCGGTGGAAATGAGGAGGTGTCGGCGTTCAGGCGATTTACTCGGAAGGCTTCAGTAGAAGCTGCTGGGAGTCCCAGCAGCTTCTACTGAAGCCAGTCCCCAACTCCGGGGACTTCCGGCCGGGGACTCCGGATGGCAGTATACGCCGTGAAGTTGTTTGCGGCCTGCCAGTAAACCC